GAAGCTGCTGACAGCGAATTGAACAAATTTGTGTACTACGTGAAGCTGAATTATTGGAATGGCTGGGTCATCAAAGGTTGAAACTAAACACAATAAATAGAGTCCGAGAGCTAGCGGAAAATATTGGTAATACCAAGTATGAATAAGAAATCGTACGGTCAAGAGAGATTGGTGGAGGAAAAAGAGTTGAACTGGGTGAACAGCACAGTGGATGGGGTAAATAGTAAGGTGGATGGGGGCCAAGGAACACGAGGGGCTGGATAGATCCATTTAAGAGAACTCTCCCTCCAAGCGTAGCTGGAAAGGATAAAGAGCTGGGAAAGAAAACGGTACGAGATTTTGAGGCCAGAAGTGCCGTCAGAAGGAGAAATACAACAAAACAAGCGGAAGGAAGGGGGTATCGAGCAAATGGTAGTGGTATTTTCTCCAGAATGAAGAAAAGAGAAGAGGTCAGATCGGCGTGGTTTATAGAACACCAAACCAGACTGATGAAGAAAATTCACATCGGACTACAATACAGGTCAGGACAGACCCAAAATTAAGGACATGAAAAACAACGAGGAAACTGGAAACATTTCCAGAAAGAAAGATAGTCAGACACCGGACAAAAACAGAACTAACAGAGAAATCCTACGCGAACGGAAACCCAGTAACGTTACTGGAGAATCCTTAGTGACGAAAAGACACAATAATGGAAGGTTAACAGCAAACACTCACAAAGCACTTAAAGCTCTGGATGACAGTGAGAACACCAGCTGTCAGAATCAAAAATTCAAAAGACGTAAAAGCTGCCCAACACTTACTTTTTAAAACACCTTTTTAAAAAAAAAAAAATAACTACGGATTTACAGAAAGTTGCTCAGATGATACAAAGTGTATCAACTGTACGTGCAGGTTTTAATTTATGGAGGTGACTGAGTGCCAACATCGAGAGGTCAATGCCCTTGAAAGATTTTTATTACGTTTCCCACGATGGGGGCCTGCCACGCTGCGGGGGCCACATGGGGAGGCATTTGCTGTCTCTAAGAATCGGCTAGCCGTAGAAATGGCCACGGAGGCCATAAATGTCAGAGCATCACAAATATAGAAAAAAGGAAAATATAGTTAATATAGATATTGGCCCCATGATGAAGGGATGCCAAATGAAAAAACCCAGAATCTACGAACACAGAATAAGAGGGGTCCCCTATCTTTCATTCACTTCTCCCAGATGGTTGCATCGAACATAATCCTAGTACACTATAAAAAAAAAAATCACCATTGGTACAATGCGTGTGTATAGCTCTATGCCACTTTAGCGATGTGTAGATTTCGTAACCCACATCACCGTCAAGACCCAGAACTTTCCATCACCACCAAGATCTGCTTCGTGTTGCCACCTTACAGGTGTGCACAACCCCTCCCTCCGCTGTCACCGACCCCTGGCAACCAGTATTATGGTTGTTCCAGAAAATAAAAAGGGCGAAAGTTGTGTACCACGCTTTATAAATTCTATCATAGCTTTGATTCCAAAACGAGAAAAGGACAAAAAAAAATGTGGCCTAAGAATTGATGAGGAAGAAATACGACTGAGAAACTAATCAGAACGCTCAGCATATGGGTCAGAGACCAGAACCAATTATAAAAATCTGTAGCATTTTTCCACACCCGCAACAATCAGTTGGAAAATATATTTGAAAATAAAACACCAAGAAAAATAGCCAACTCTACACTATCTGGGAATTGTTTATATAATCTGTTTTCAGATGGCCAAGGAAAAAATGTGAAATTTTAAGTAAGGACGCAAAAGAGCTGGGGTAAATTGTCTGACATCCAATGATGGCTTAACACAAAAATGATGTCGGGGCGCCTGGGTGGCTCAGTCAGTTAAGCGTCCGATTTCGGCTCAGGTCTTGATGTCACGGTTCATGGGTTCGAGCCCCACATCAGGCTCTCTGCTGTCAGCGCAGAGCCCGCTTCAGATTCTCTGTCCCCCTTTCTCTTTGCCCCTCCCCCACTCATTCTCTCTCTCAAAAATAAACATTTAAAAGAAAAAAAATGATGTTAACTTCCCCCATATATCTATGAATTTGAAGCAATTTCAGTCACTATTCTAGTTGGATGTTTCAAGGGGCTCAATAAACGTTTCCTGAATTTTCTCTGAATGCAAACTTTCTGAAATTTGTATGAATGCTTAATGGTGTGCAAATTAACTAGTTCAACTTTGAAAAGAAAACGAAAGGCGGAATACTCAAAATACTACAAATCCATAATAATAAAAACCACATGGTTATTATTTATTTATTTATTATTGGCTTCATAGGCTTGTGACCTCTGCAGTCACATAGGACCCCCACTTAAGTGGGCCCCATGCTTGCTTTCAGTGCGATTTGCTGTCACTGTCTCGAAATTCTTAATAATTTTTTTTTAAATTTTTTTAACGTTTATTTATTTTTGAGACAGAGAGAGACAGAGCATGAACGGGGGAGGGTCAGAGAGAGGGAGACACAGAATCCGAAACAGGCTCCAGGCTCCAAGCTGTCAGCACAGAGCCCGACGCGGGGCTCGAACTCATGGACCGCGAGATCATGACCTGAGCCGAAGTCAACCGCTTAACCGACTGAGCCACCCAGGCGCCCCTTGAAATTCTTAATAATTTTTAAACAAGAACCCTGCACTTCATTTTGCATTAGCCTTGCCAACCATGTGGCCCGTCTCAATGGGAACAAAGATGTTTCAAAGACCAGGACAGAAAGTACGGGCTCCAAAGAATGGATTTCTGTCCGGCAAAGGACACCAGGGATAAGGAACTGACAGATAACTGAAACTAAATGCCTTCAATGACTCAGGTAGACGAGGGCCGATATAGAGAATAACCAGGAACTCTTGCAAAGCAAAGAGCAAATCCGTTAAAAACAGGCAAAGGGTTGCAAGCGGAAAACAAGAGAAAACTTAAATGGCAGGCTGACCAACAAAAACATCCCAACTGATTTGCAATCAGAGAAATGAAAGGTGCAACAATCGGATGGCATTTTACGCCCATTAATTGCCAAAAATGAGAAAGCTGGAGCAGGCAACAAGGCAGAAATCAGCACCCACCCGGAGGGTGTCCTGGGGCAGTCGCTCTGGAGCACAGGCTGGTGGGAATTACCAGTATGGGTTTACCTTGTGACCCAGCAACCCCACTCACAGGTGCGTGTATGTGAGCTAAAGCCTCACGTAGGTCGGTATGGGGACGCTCTGGGTGCTTCTGTGGGTCGGAGGCCGTCTGTGTCCATCACCCAGGGAACAGCTAAGTGTGAGATGTTGATGAATTATTACGGGTGGTGAGAAGGTCTGGACTCGGTGAGCGCAGGAACGCCATAAGGAGAACAAGAAACACCTCAAACGTAGCACAGCACGACCCGTGTAGAAACAGATCTGAAGCACAAAGTCACGTATATAAATTGTAAATACATTTGCACAAAACGAGGACACCTACGAATAAAAGCACAGACATCAAGCGTACGGGGGTAGGGGTAACAGGGAAGGGAGAGAGGGAAAAAATGAAAGGAAGTGGATTATTTAAAATGAAGGACACGAGGACCCACAAGGACGTACATGAACATAAACAAAAAAAAGGAGCACTTTGCAGGACCAGGGTGAAGAGTGTCATTAACTGTGCAGCTGATGACTGCACCGTTCCGCTCTTGAGGGTAAAAACAAACAAACAAAATGAACTGTCTAAGGTCCCACAAAACTGGATAAAAAATTTTAAAGACTGAATATTGTCTCTTGGCTGTATGGGGGGGGGAGGGAGAAAGAAAAGCTACTGATTTTTAGCCATGTCTTTTTACTCAAAGCATGTTTTATTTATTTATTTTTATTTTTTAATTTTTAATGTTTATTTTTGAGAGAGAGAGAGAGAG